TAATTAATATAAAGAAATATAAAAACTTTTCTTAGTGTAGCATAAACTGTCGAGAAACTTTGGAGCGGAGAGCAGAGAAAATGTGCGTGGTTCGATCGAAGCTTGGAGACTATGTCTCTCTTCTATGATTCTCTATATAAGTATGTAGGTATATTATAAAAACCGTCTGAAAAAGCAAGCCCACACTAAAAAAACCGAATCTTATCTGGCCGATCGTGCGTTCTATTTCGCCGACAACTACTACGATTTTTTTTCTCGGGCAAACGCATGTGTCTATATGTACACAAATGTATGTATTTTGATAGTTTGCTTAGTTTGCTGTTTTGGATTATTTTTCTGGGGCTGGTTGACGAAGCGTGTGGCTGATTCTATATAATCTATGATGATTATTATGTTAGTCTAGGTCTGGCCACCGACGAACTATGCGTATGCTAGCTGCCGAATGTCATCTGCTGGTTATTTTTATCTAGTTTTTAGCTTTGACATATATTAACCATTTTTATAGGTTGAGTTGGCAGAGACAGACGGCAGACAGGAGGGCAGATAACGATAAATTGGGGGTAATTATATGCAATTAACAATGGATTATATAAAGGGGTTTAGACAGAAAAACAATGTAAATGTCTATATTAAATATTTTAGTTAATAGTGAGTTTTTAAATTTAATCTTACATTTTAGAAGATGTTTAGGAATGCATATAATAATGTAGTTGTAACTTTGGGTATACGAAAACCTAATAATTTAACTATTTAATATTGGACACTAATCTTTCAAACAATTTTTTGTATCCTAAACAAGAACTGTTTAATTTCAAAATATGTTAATAAATTTAATAATACATTTCATTATTTATTTATGATAGTATATACTATCATATAATCATATGATTATTTGTTATTCGTGATTAAATTGTTTTCAACCAAAAAGTATGCTATACTTTCTGCACAGCTAAAAATCTGTTTAAGCAAAGAAAATACCCCAAACTAGACAAACTTATTATGGTCACATAATAAAACTTTTAAATTAAACTGATTTTAAACACACACATCAAATAGCAAGTAATTATCCTTTTATTTTTCAAAATGTAGGCAAAATGTGCGGTAAAATAGAACTTTTTTTGCTGACCGAAACGAAAAAACAAATTATAAACACAACTGGCCCATTATTATTCACCTATTTTGGGCCACAAACAGCCAAAGGGGTAAAATGGGAATGGGCCAAAAAGGACTTGACCTGAATTTGCTTATCAGCCAACAGCATCCGAATGACTTAAATATCTCATTTAACGCCAGACCAAGTACGGTTGAATTTTTTGGGGGGGTTAACACGCACACGCATATTTACAACTAAATATAATAAATTTCAACATGTTTATCCCCTTTATTTTGAACACTTTTTTCACCCATACACACAAACGCAAGTGTGGTCCTTTACTCCAGTTTTTGGCTAGGATAAGTGTGTCTTCTTCCTGCCATTTCTCTTTTTTTGCTGTATGTGTGCATGTACAAAGTGTGTCAGAAAGTTTTCCTTTTTTTTCCTGGCTATAACTTTCACTACTTTCGAGTTGAAGTTGTGCGTTTGCGGTGGTAAAAGTAAAACTGTGTTATGGATTTCCTTTTATATTCTTACTTTTCCCTTTAAGGGTTGGCCTTTTCTCCCTCCTCATTAGCTGTTGTTGCTGTAGCTGTCGTGCTTGTAATGCCACAAATTAACGATGTATGTAATTAATATCTCAAATTGGCTTACAATTTGCTAAAAATTTGTCATATTTGTTTTACGACAGTTTTATGGGTTTTTGGTGAGAGGTTAGCAAGTTGTTAAGGGAGAGATTTTAGTCAGAGATTTGGGGCGTGATGTCAACTTTGGGGATAGTAAGATGTGAGGTTATCATAGAAATAAAATCTTTTATAAATTGATTTGTAAATATACATATACAGGTGATTAGCGAGATGTGATTTTGTATTTGATTTATTTATTAAGAGATTGTATAGGTTCTTTACTTTTAGTCCTTGTTTTTTTAATTTTAGAACACAAAGTTAAATTAATGATGTAGTGCTAGCCACATTTTATATTATTTTTATAGTTTATTGTCTTTATTTGCTAACTAAATTTTACACTATTTTAAAGTTTTAAAAGTAGTGTCATTATTTCAAAAGCTCAAAGTTTCTTGAAATCGTATACCTATTTAACTATATTTTTTTCTTTCCTTAAAGTCCATATCTTATTGATTGATAAATATTTTAAGTTATTTCGCTTTGACTACAGATTTCCACACTCGCATGCCAGTTGTCGTCCCCTGTCAAATTCAGAAAATCTTCGCTGGAGGATGGAAATGAAGCAGGAAACGCCGAAGAAGCCACTAAAAACTTATCGCGCATATATAAATATATAAATTTTAATTAGAGCTCGCGCACACACACACACACACACAAACAGTTAGAAAGTTAGAAAGAGAGGCAGCGAGAGCGCCACAGATACTTTCCCTTTTAGCGACCTTAATTAATTTTTGGCCCAGTGACATTGTGTTCGGAGTGCAAAAGAAAAGTGGGAGGGAATTGATTTTCCTTATTACGAGCTATATGTATACCAAAGACGGAAAATGAAAGCGAAAGTGAAAGTGCAAAAGCGCAGCGCGCAAAAGTATCTCATGGATACAAAAAAGTTGGGGGATGAAGAGGAGTCGAGTGGTTTTCGCCTGCTTTTCAAGTGGCATGGGTAGTTGTTGTCAAAGTAACGAGTGGGCTGTCAGACTGTCAGGATTCTCGGCTTCTCCCTCCCTTCAGACGAGATCTTTCTTCCGACCTTTCTCCTGCTTTCTCTGAAAACGCCTACCATTCAGTCAGTCGCCATTGCCGTCGCCCCTCCTGTCAGAAGTAAGTAAACTAAAAAGACAAAGGCCTCGCCTAAAAGTGTGCTACACATAAAGAAAATAGGGGGGTTGATTGTAGAGAAGGGGGGTCTTATGGACAAGTATATAAAGAAGCTGCCAGTAGCATATCTTTCTGCTTTCTGCTGCCACTTTTCCTGCTTTTTTGTGGCTGTGTTGCTGCTGCGTCTCCATCTTTTCTTGCTTTTTCAAAGATGTTGCCACTGCCGCTTTTCCTGTAGTTATGTTGTTGTTGCTTTTGCACGTTGCTGGGGCAACATGGACTTTCGGCCACGAGTCCGCCTCAACAATGCAAAAAAACAACAGCAACTTGGGCAGCTATAAAATCCTCAGAAGAGGCAGCAACATGAGCAGGCACAGCAGCAACATTGGCCCAAACAGCAGCAACAACAGACATTTTTTGGTTATATTCGGGTTGCTTCATGCCACACGCAACTTTTGCTGCTCCCCTTGCCGTTTTTGGAATCCCCCCTTCCCCCTTCTCTTTTTTCACCATCCAAAGTTCGTTGGAAAATTCGAATGTCAGTTGTAATAGCTTCGGCATATAAATCAATAAAATGATTGTACTCACCTTTGGGGCTCTTGCCCACCTCCTGGCCACGCCCCTTCTACCTTTCTCCTTACCTTTCACCTCCCCTTTTCTGAAACCTCCTCATCCTTTCACTTTCTTGCAGCTTCTGTGTTTGTGTGCGTGCTGCCACTGCTGTTGTTATTGCAACGTTGTTGCCGAAAATATTCACAAAAGGGGTGGCACTGCGAGGTTAGCTCAAGAGCTTTGAGAATATCAAGCTTCAACCTTACAGCTTAAGTAGAATTTCGCTAAAGTTGTATAATATAATTTATTTAGCATTAAGAATAGTTCGAAAATAGTTCCATAACCACACAATTTACTCAAGGTTTGGTATATTAGAAGCAAAGTGGTTTTTCATCTTTCAATTTTTCAAATATCAACAGAAACTTAACTAGTTTAATTTTATTTATAGTAATTTTTGATTTCAGGAAAAAATTCCCCTAAGCATCGATTCAGAGAAAGCCTGGAGAATCGGTCAACCTGATAACGACGAAAGTAACGAGGATTGCGTTCATCTTTCTTCCTTTGAGATACAACATAACTCAATAAACGATCTTCCCTGCACAGAGAAACTTTATTTCTTTTGCCAATGGGACGATGAAGTTTATCAAATCAAAACAATAATTTAATGTCATTTTTCAGTTTATCAAATGATTTTTAGTTGGATGTATCTAATAGCAGACTTGAAAATGTTACAATTAAAGTCGTGCTGCATATATTTCTGTTTATCAATATTTATTATTTGCAACAATAAAATTAAAAGTATTGCCTTTTAATTTTGTTGTAAAACCAAAATATAGCGTTGGGAAACCCCCCATTGAGGAAGTTAAAATTCCGTTACTGGTTTGAAAATCAGAGAAAAGAAATCACGGGTTTTTTTTAAACTGTATCTAAAAAAAATCAACAACTTATTCAAGAGCTTAAATTTCACATGAAGGCTTATTTAACCAGATTAAATGCAAGAGAGAACGGAAGTGCCCCGACTACCAGGAACCAGCAATTAATTTTAAAATATTTCTTATCGCTATTGCAGGCCTCTTTTATTCACATAAATAACAAGAAGTAACTACAAAGTCGAATGCATCGACTATGATGTACCTGTTACATACTTTACCAACTTCAAAATAAATATACCTTCAACTAAAGGCGAAAACATTAATGTTTTAATTTTTTATTGTGCTAATTATCATGATCAAGAATGTATTTATTTTATTAGATCGGAAGCAATTCGTTCAACCTTTTACTTTCGGAAGAATACAATATACCCTTTAACTCTGTATATATATATACTGGTAAGAAGAATTTTAATTTGTTATCCATAGTCAAATCAGTTATTTATTCTACGTAAAAAAATGCTTTCTTGTTTTCCGTTTCTAAGTAGTATGACTTAGAGTTATGAAGTCATTATGCAGATTTGATGAATCATTGAGTTTTTAAAATTGGACTTTTTATCAGTGCAGGGTTCTATAAAAGCTAGAGTGTTTCCAAGTTTATAGTCAGTTCACTTTTGAAATTCGCCAATAGTGGCTTTTAAGTATACAATGTTCAAATTCGATACGTACATTTTAGTGGCATTCGTTGCCTTGAGTCTAAATGTAATCCAGGCAAAGTCCTTCAATTCGGATCAAGATCGCCCGGGCAAATGGTTGAACGAAATATTCCCATTGCTAGATTATGTCGGTACTCAGTATGGACTGTGCACCAGCAATACCTCAGATGGGTTAAAGGAAACACTTTCTAAATTGGCGCTGGTGGAAAGCAAATTGACAGGGGTGCAGGATCAACATAAAGGTATACAGAAGTCAATTAAAGATCATTCGACCGAAGAGAAAACATTGCTGGAGAACATCGAAATGAGGCTTGGAAAGATTGAAGATCATATAGCAGAAATAAATCAGACACAATTCCAACAATGGTCCATACTGGAAGTTGGCAGTCCACAGGACTTCAAAGCAGTTCTAGATAGGATGGAAGAACTTCAGATGTACATGCAAAGAAAGATTGCAAACCAGCAAAGTGTGAAAATAATGAAAAAAGCTCTTATCGGAATGGCAAATTTTAAAAGAATTGGCACCCGATACTTCTATATCGAGACAGAAGTGAGGCAAAATTGGTATACGGCTAAAGAAACGTGTCGTGAAATGGGCGGTTACTTAGCTTCCATTAAAGACTACAGCGAACTTGAAGAACTGGATAAAAAACTAATTAAATTAGAACACTACTGGCTGGGCATCAATGATTTGGAAACAGAGGGCGAATACGTATCAGAGGCTACCGGTATAAAAGCCACATATTTGCCCTGGAGAAGTGGTGAACCCGACAACTTAGTAGACGAGGATTGTGTTTTTATTTCGTCCGTGAAAAATCTACGGAAATCAATGAATGATCTTCCTTGCTCCCAGCAGCATTATTTCATTTGCCAATTTGACAATGAAATTTAGTGAGCAAAAATATTAAAAAAAATTTTCTCAGCTTATATAAAAAAAAATTTTAAAAAATATGTACTGAATAGTGCCAGTTAATTTTTTCCTTTTCTTTAAAAGTGTTCATGCATTTCACTTATTAAAATATTAAAAACGAAATATATTTTCTATAACAATTAAATAATGTGTTTAAATGTATTTCTTTGGCTGTAGCGTTTTGCACCAATAATATTTCAATAGTATTTTGTTCATATACCTAGTTTTATTTCAGAAAACTCCAGAGGCAACCCTCGCTCAGTAAATTGTGAGCTTCAGGTGCGCCTGCTTGTTGCTACTCCTGGCCCCTCAAAAAAAATAAAAACCACCCACCTCCGCCTGGGCCATTTTGCTGACTGTTGATGATGATAATGGGCCTTTCCCTATATATATACTTTTCCTTTCCTTTTTTGGTTGGGGGCTTGTGGGCGTACCTCATCCTGTCCGATGCGAACGAAGTAAAAATTTTTACGCATTTTTGATTTATGGCCCCAGCACAAATAAATTGTCGACGTTGTCAACTGTATATTGAAAATGCATTGGGCGCCAAAAGAGAAATGTATTACAGAGCAGGAGCAAATATCTTAAAGCCAGTGATTCCGCCAGCAATCTGCAGCAATAATGTTAATGATTATAGCCGGAAATTGAGGTAACAGCTGTAAAGTTGTTGCCGAAATATTAAAAGCGAATGGGAGATGGGGGTTCTTTTTGGACTAAAGCACCTGTGGTTCACATATGCAGCAGCCCAGGGGGCCAAAAGGCAGACTACGCTTCGAAAAAGGAGCCCTGACTGTTTTGGCCATTAAAAGTTTTTACAATGCAGACACACGCACTTCGGTGGAGGCCCAAAAAAAGAAGAGAAAAAATTTCCAGTAGGTAGGGGGAAAAGGTTTGGGGTCAAGTAACGTGGCACTTTTCACAACACAACGGCTACTTTTACCCCTAGCTCAGTTTTTGCTCTTTTCCGTAGGTTTGGTTTTGGTTGGCAGGGCCAACAGTGCGCATACTTGATGGGCCTCAGCCATCGTACTTCCCTTACTAACATTCTTTTCTTTTTTTGAGGACTCCCTCCTTCCATCATGATGGAAGACCACAACACATGCGAACTAAAGTTGCCTCTGGCCTGGGGTTTATAACTCCCATTCTGCTGACTTCTTCGCTTGGCAACAACTAGGACACGTCAAGTGGCTCTTGAGCTTGGATTCCAAGTTTAAATTGCAGGATGGTAGGACCTGGAGTTCTTGGAGATAAGCTACTTAAAATTGTCTCATATAAAGCTATGTTCCAAGGAAGTGGACATGGGCATTTTAAGGGATTTTATGGCCATATTGACAGAAAGTGCAGGCGGGCTATTAGCAAATTGCCAATTTCTCTGAATATTTTTAGCCCACAAGGACAATGTATCAAGCTAGGATTTTCTATGGATATTATTTTAAAATCTATAGAAAACTTATTAAAAAGTGGCTTAATAAACTAAATTTCACTTTTCTCTTCTCACCATTTTGTTCTAATATTAAGAACATTGTTACCAAAATGTATTTAAACGGTTTTTAAGAACGAATGCTCTCAATTCAAGAACAATGTACTTGAATATTTCTTTCTGTGTATATATATGTGATTCAGTCTCAGCTGAAATGGATTCCAAATAATTTTAAATTTACAAAAAGGTATTATATAAATACAAGAATCTAATTTTAGATTTTCTCAGAATGTGGGTTAAATCTTGTAGAAAAAATCCTGTTCCTCGTCCTGGGATTTTTTCCATAATCCAGGCAACACCTCATTAAAGTTACATTGAAGCCATATCACATCTTACTAACGAGCCATCCACTTTAGCCTGCATATATGGCTAACCCAGCTCCAACTCCCCCAAATTTCACCCCCTTACACACACACACACGCACCCCCATGGGGGAGTCACCCACACAAACAAGAATATATGGGAAAGGAAAAAAAACAAGGATGGACGGACATCGGCTGACGTTGCTGTGACAGCAAAGATAACGCAATAACAACAGCAGCAATGTCAATGCATGTGGCAAGCAAATGACCAACAGGACCTCCCTCACACACACACACACACACACCCAGGACCACACACACACTCACGCAGGAAGACCCGCTGAGCATGTGATCTATGCCTATCTGATGTATTTTAATGGTGCTCACATATATTTTTCATTATTGCTCCAGCTGCCTGTTGACCAGGAGGTAAAAGATTTATGAATAAAATATATAACGAATACAGAGATACTCTATTTATTTTTATTAATTAAACATAGTATAATAAAAAATATAACTAAGCAAATAACAAGACATACGATATGTAATCACTAAACCTCGGGTAATGTGTTCAATCATTTCCTGATCTTTAACTTTCCTTCTTAATTTTCTTATACAGAGAACCATAATTAAAATAAAATTTAAATTAAATATTAGCTTTTGAACTTTGTAACCAATTAGGTATTACTATAACAAAATTATATATGTACAATCCACTGTCATATAATCATATATAATATAATATATATGATATTCATATAATAATAATTATAACATATATATAATCATATAATCACTTTTTTAAAATATTTAGATATTTTTAGTTTAGCATTCATTACGCTTTTAAGAGTCCTTTTGTTTTATTACATTATTATAACAAATAAGTACCCAATATTTAATGTTATTTAATATAATAAAATATTAAAACGACACAGCTGTGCATAATTAAAAGTTTTCTTCTCTTATAAGTAACTTCTATTTAAACCTAAAATCCCAAAATAATTTTCCATAACTTTCAGTATTTTTGAGCATACCCTATACATACCCTTTTACCCATCTACAAAGTAATACTCTCGTTAGCCCCTCATTTACCAACCCCCCCTGATTTTTCGCCTTCACCCATTCCATTACGTACATTACGTATACGCAGTGTCTGATTCTTTCCCCTTGCAGCATAGACCAACAATTTATTTCTATACACTGGAGGCCGCGATTTTTTCCAGCTACCATGTGAATGTGGATGCAACGCATTGAGGCCGCTGGCAAAAAGCCACCCGCACCCAGATCCTGACCCAGTCCCAGTTAGTATCCTGGCTTCCTAACCTCTCGTCCTTTTTTCCTTATCCATTCTATTTAGGATTTTTTTGCCCCTTATCTGGTCGTGCTGCGGCATTTTTTCGTGATGATATGCGATGGAGTTTGAGAGCAGGTTCTATACGAACAATGTTTTGGGGGCTGATATTTTTTATGGCCCGTTGAGATTGCAATTTGAAAATCGATAAATTGCAATTAATTTAATGGTCATAACGACAACCCAACAAAAAAAACAATAAATAATGCGGCTAGTAAATAAATCATAGATGTTTCAGTGAAATGTTGTCAAAAGTTTTTAAATAAGTGCCTTAAAGACTAGGGGAAAAGATTATGTAAAAAGAAAATTGTATATTTTGAAGAAGCTGCGGAACATCCACTTAATTAGCCACAAAAATGTGCCCCAATGGCAGCCATAGAAACCAATTTAAAATGATGCTGAAGCAAAGAGAATTAGAAAACTGAGGAGAAAACCTAAAAACATAGTTATAGACTTTAATCCAATATTATAAATTTCAAACTTAATTTGTAATGCAACTCAAGCCTTGAAGTCGCCAAGTTTTAATTAAAATTTCGCTTTGACCGGGAACATATTTTCCAAATGCAGCAATGAAAAAACAATTTCCACATTCCTTATTATAGAAAATTTACGCCGTCGCTGGGTATTTGCATAATTTCCACCACCCATCCGCCCACCGAAAGGCAAAACCAGATCGACTGGGATTGCTGATTAGCAGTCCCCAAGCATCATCCCCCTGCCATTTTCCTACTCCACCCCTGCCTTTTTCCACCTTGGTAACTGCGGTCCAGCCGGCCAGCATTTAATTACCTTGGAGAAAAAACGTGGAAACCAAGAGCAGAGCGCTTCAGGTGTACGGGGAAAAGCGAGGAAAACGAAAGGCATAACCTAATTTTCTCAAATTTCCCCAGCAACGAGATGTGGGCAGCAAAACTCTGGCTGGAATTTTCAGATTCAGAGCTTTGGTTTCTTGCCAAATCTGTGGAACAGTGTGTTCAGGGTGCTAAACATGCAAATGCACAAAATGAATATTCAACAGGAGAAAGTCTCTTTCTACCCGAGAAAAAAATCCTTAAAAGAGTATGGCTATTGAAAGAAAACAAAAGAAAGAATTAACAGAAAGATCATTGTAAAGGATCTATGGAATATCTTTAAATTTGTCAGTTGATCAGAAACGTAAAGTCCCTAAACAAAGTACAAATTATAAAAAAAGTCTTGACAAATATTGAAAAATAAGATATACTTAATATATTAATTAAGGAAAATAGAAAATATTTTATAGTCCATCAAATCTATGTAAATATATTTATAATTCATAATAGTTAATAATAATATAATTCATAATTAAAATATATATTCATAGATGTGATGGACTATATAATATTTCGTTATTTTAGTTCTATATTTAGAGCTAGAAATTTAATGGAATCGGCAGGTAAAACAAAAATATTTCAATAGGACATAGCCTAAAGCATAAACACGTCTCACCCTTGACCTTTTTCCTGGTTCTATGCCTACCACCAACACTAACAAAAACAGTAGCACACATTCAATTTTGCATTATGCTCATGTACACTACGCATAACAACAAAACAACAAAGAACAACAGCGACGAACAACAAAATACAAGCAAAAGCAACAAACAATGATTTTCATGGTACGTAAAATTAATTAGGGCACTGAGACAAAAATCCTCAAATTTCAATTGAGCCGCAGCGCCCTGTCAATGGCCAGTGGGAGTGAAAGAGATAGCTGATGGGGTGGAGAAAGAGACGGGGAATAATACTCATGCACTGAAAACAAGGGGGCGAAGAAGGGGAAGAAGCTGCCCAACTAAAAATACCAAGGACTTAAATGGGGGGGGGGGGGG